GCACAGCGTAGTCGAACCCGATGCCAGTTCCACTCGAACAGGTTCCAAGCGGGGAATTTCATGAGGTAGCGCTTCACGTAATCCATTCGTTGCACCGCCATCCAACAATCCCACTGCCCCACCTCGAGTGTCCAGCTCGTGCTTGAGCTCCTTCATACGCAGCACCTTCACGCTACGCAAGGTCTTCAAGAGCGACGTTGCCTCAGTCAACAGCTCGGCTGCAGCTTCTGTTCCTGACTGGCGAGGAGGAGACTCTCGATATGAAGACGCAGACGTTGTAGGTGGTGACCCCAGTTCCTTGGCCGAATCTTCACCTCCCGTAGTGTCCTTCACACCCTTCTCCCCCTGCTCAGGCTTCTCCTGCTCCTTGGCCGCCTTGACCTTTGAGACTTTCTTCACGTCTCCCTTCTCCGACTTCAGACCATGAGGACAATCCTTCTTCATGTGATGACCTCCACATCCAAAGCATCGGCCCTTCATTTCCGACGTGTCGTGAGCATAGGTACATGCAGCTCCTCTTCTGCATCCATCCTCACTCTTCCAAAACCTGCAAGCTGGCTTCATTCCAGCCCGGTCATCATTCTCCCTTCCCCCATAGGTCGCCGCCATCGCCTTCAAGGACGAAGAGGCCGGTTGTGGGGTAGGCGTAGACACCTAGGCTGCTCCAGTAGGCTTCGCCACCATGGTCAGCGACATGTCCTCAATCTCAGCCTGGACATACTCGGCCAACTCACGAACCGATGGAAGTGTCGCATGGTCAACCTTCAGCTCCTGTCTTGCATTGGCCAGCCTGAACGACAGCCGCGGCCCACCAATCTTCGTAGCTGCATCTATCATCCGCTGACCTGCCACCATCAACACTATCGGATCCGGCAGCGACAATCCCAGCTCCTCAGCACGCCCCAGCCACCTCCTCCACAGTCGCACCTGAGTGAGAAGGTCTGTGATGCTCGCAGTGAACTTTGCCGCAACCAAACTCTTCAGCAACTGAGTCTTCTCTGCTCCACCTCCCGGCTGGTAGGCGATGTGCAACCGATAAAGGATGTGCACCACCGACAGCTGCCGGCCTGAGATCAAATCCCTCCAAATGCCGTCAGGCAATGCTCCAAGCAGCATAGCAATCCCACGCTGCTCAATCCTCTAAAATGCAGGCGCCACCACAACCTCAGGTCGTTTCCTGATTCTCTCCAAGGGCGTAAGTGTGAGCCACTGAGTGTAGTGCTCCTGTGCAACTCCCAATGATTCCTCCCACCAAGCCTTCGCCGAGTTGGAGATGTCCGACATGAGGGGAAAGGCCATCGTCAACCAATCTCCAAACAATATCGAAGCTCCCTCAACATTGGGCGCAGGCAGCGTAGGCAGTTCCAGGTTCCTCAATGCCTCAGTTGTCGAAGCCACTGAAACACCTTCCGCAATCTTGATGGGAGAGGTCAGATTTCCTCCTTTCTCTTCATCCCTATACCCACGGGCATGATGAGATAGTCCAGGGGGCCGTTGAGGAAGACCATGTAGAGGAAGTTCCCCATCTAGCGGTCCTTGAGTGCCACTGCAAACCGTCTTGTACGACTTGGTGTCCCCCGGTTCCCTCCTGGTCGACAACCTCTTGAGCTCCTTCTCAAAGCTCATCTCCGCCTCCTTGAGGATACGCATCCGCAGCGCCTCAACCTCATCCATTGCTGGAGACTGTGTTCCCCTTTCTCCCAACGGAGGTCCTGCGGCCCCCGACAAACGCTTTGCTTCACCCTGACGACCAGCGCTCATTGCTTCACCCGCTTGTCCATCCGCCGGTACTGACAAAGAGCTGCCTCCATTTGCCAGTGGTTTCACACCCTCTTGCCCCGCAGGACTCCAGAAAGGATTCATCGGAGCTTGTTGTTGCCGATCCGGTGTAGTCGTAGTTCCACCGGTGTAGTCCAGTGCACGCGGCACCATCGAACTTCTTGCATCAGCCAGTCCTTCATTGGTCCAAGGCACACCCAGAAAACCTCCAGAAATTTCCAGGTCCGGCGCCAAGAGATAGAGGACCAAGTAGTCCCTGACCTTGAACTGGTACTTGAGATGGTTGACCATGTCCTTGACGTGACCCTGTCAAAGCCTGCTGCAAAGCCTGATAGGTGCGCTGCATCGCATCATGCAGAGCCGCCATACCTCCTTGAGCTCCAGCAACATCACCTGCACCTTGAGGAGGAGGTTGAGGCACCGAGTGTCTCACCGATCTCAAAGCCCTTTCTTCCTGGTTCTTCGCATCCGGATCATCTTCCAAGGGACGCGGTGGCCGCAACGAGACTGGATCTCCTCTCGGACCTTCCAAAGGCGGGGTAGACGATGATCTTCGCGGACCAGGGTCCAGAGACCTCGCTCTCTGCTCTTCCTCAATCAATGCATCAAGTCTTCGATCTGCTTCTCCCACCTCCAAGGGTCCTGCAGCACCTTTTGGCTCCGCCTTTGCTTGTCTTCGCCGCCGCACAAGCGCAGGATTCGATGCCATGGGAGCCAGCGACCTCTCCTGAGGTGGTCTTAACAGCAACTTGGGCTCATAACCTGTGAGCGACAAAACAAAAGTCCCGTGCGTCAGTCACGCACCATTTCTTGAGCCAAAACGTGAGTGGTCATTTGACCGGTTGACACCTTTCATGGTGACTGCACATCGAAAATCACATGTCCCACAGATTCATTTAACTATGTACTACAAAAATATCCAAATCCATAAGGTTAGGTGTTTACTAAAAAGCTCTTGGACGTAGTAATCTAATTCCATGCAACCCCCCATATGTCTTGCTTCTAGAGTGTGAATTGTATTGCTCTTGTTGAATGCAGTCATAATCAAAAGGCAAGGAATTGCACACCCTAAATAACTAAATTGCAGATTAATTCTAATTGAATTTAAACTCCAATCTATTCAACTCGACTCTACTTTGTATATCTAAATTTAAGTCGGTGTCAATTATTTGAAAATTCTACTTTGATTCAAATGTCTATCACTATAGATTCTAATTTACTTGGGATTCAACGCAAGCCTAATTTGAATTTGATTTCAAGCTAATTCTAACTTCATTGCTGTACAAGTCAGATTCAATTCTAATAGTGTATTAATTTTCAATTTAGTTTTAATTCGAATGAAATTATAATTTACTTCTAGAGAATTGGTGTTACTTTGAGCATGAGATATTTTATGTAGTTTTTCCAACATAAAAGCATTTGCTTTCTTAAATGAATTAAATTCACCCCCAGCAACACCCACTCTCTAGAATGACATCAAAACTGAATTAGAAGTCCATGTGCATTGAACTAGAATCAAAATATGATTGAATTAGACATATAGAAACCAAAAATAGTTTGCAATGACGATAGTGTAAAATTAGATGTGTAAAACAATTGAATCTGAACTGTATAAAGGCATTAACATTAGAAATTAATTACAAGTAAATTGGAATAGTCAAAGTTACAATCGAATCCAAAATAGAATGAAATAGAACTAAATTCGAAATAGACTGGAATTAAATTAGAATTGAATGAAAAACATTGATTCAAAATCCATTACTTAAATCGAAGTTGACTTAGAAGTTAGGTCGAATTGAATTAGAGTTGTTTTACCTAGAGCTTGATTAGTAGAACAGTATTGACTTAGAATTAAATTGGAATCTAAGTTCAATTAGAATTGAACTAGATTTAATTTGCAATCTCAATTTGAATTCAATTATACAAAGTTCAATTAGGATCATTTTCTATTTAAATTAGAAGCACGCTGCAGATTCAAATTTAGATGCAAAATTGAATTCAATTATATAGATCTAAAAAAGCCAAACATAATTAGAATTAAAATAGAAATGAATAAATTAGAATAAAAACTGAATTGGAATTTGTCTATACAATGAAATTAAGCTAAATAAACTTAATTTAGAATTCAATTAGGCTCAACTTAGGCTTAAAGTAGAAGTATGTTACAAAATCAATTGAATTTAAATTAGAAAAAGAATTGCCTTAGAATTCAGTTAAATTGTATGTGCACTAAACTCATAGAAGGAAAAGAGTTGAATTAGTTGTTAATTAAAATTGAATGAGAAACAAATGTCGGTAATCAGTCATATTCCAGGATCAAACCAAAACCTTGAGAACGCCAACACCAAAAAAGAAACAAATACACAAAGAAACCAAAAAATACATTGCAAAACCCAACAAATTCAGACCCATGGAGAGGGACCCAGGAGAGGCTGGACAGGAGACATAGGTGGTCTGAACTTTTTGTTTTTTTTTGTTTTTGGTCAGTTTTTGGCAGACCAGCCAAAACAAAAAAAACAAAAACTTCAGACCCATGGAGAGGGACCCAGGAGAGGCAGGACAGAAGACATAGATCTGAACTTTTTGACATTTGTGTGTTTTTTGACAGGAGACAGGTCATAGGAAGTCCTAGGACTTAATAAGGGAGGTCCTTGGAGGTCCTAGGACCTCCTAGGACCTCCCCAGACGTAGTGGTAGCATATCCCTATCTTACTGTAGTACTGTAGAACTATATATAGTACTGTAGTACTGTAGAGAATGCGCAGTCCATGTTGTTTCCCAGAAGATGTGAACATGTCGAGATGACTTGTGCAAAAAAATGCTCATATATTATGTATATATATACAAATTAGTGATAAAAGCATGCAAATACCAGTAAAAGTACAAAAAGGGTAGGTACAGGGGGGGTAACATATATATATATATATACAGACAAACCTGATGACATGGGAAGGCCAAAACCAACCATGTCATCAGGTTTTCCATGATGAACGAACCTGACCATAACAAAGCTAGTCACAGGGTAGCGGCGTGAACACCTCGGGGGAGCAGATGATGAGCACCAGTTCAGAGGATAATGACATGCCTCAACCTGCCCAATCAGGAAACTATATATACATATTCTGTTGTTTGGTCTGGCATGTGGAAAATGGCACCGCTGGTACCCTATTCGTCGTCTTCATCCCCTCCCCAGCCCTGCTTGTCCAACCGGGCGCCGGTGCCCAGGTCAGGCAGAGCCCTGCAATCAGGGCTGCAGAGGCCACGAAGATTTGGCAGCTCGGCTCGTTGAGCCTCAACCAGTCGCGTTGCCGGGAGCATATGCAGGAGGTAGGTCCGTTCAGTCGATGGCAACCTGCCAGCCTTGAGCCCCCAGGCCAGCCCTGCACCGTTTTTCCATAGGCCAAGATTGGGGATGCCGAGCCTCAGTCCACAGCCAAGTGGCCGAATAGGAAGGAAGACCATCTGGGCGGTTTCTCACGCACCCAAAAGCATTGACAGAAATCCGCAGTTTGCTGGCTTGCAGCGAGATATGATATGATATGATATGATATGATATGATATGATATGATATATATATATAATATATGCATGGGGCCATTCCGGCGGCCTGGCAATATCAGCTCTTTGGAATCACCCAAGCCGAAATAGCCTTCTGAGAATCCCTTTCATCAATCCAACAGTAACTTATATAATTACAGCGGTCTGCAAGTTCGAGAATCTTCAGTACCCCCTTTCTCCACTGTAAGCTCAGAATCTGTGGAACCAATCAAATATGACAAATCTGTTCTAAAATGGAACGAACAAAACATTTTCCCACAGAGAAGCCTTTGCCTCACAAATCCCCCGGCCGAGTGGCTCGTGAAGTTTGCCAGCCTGCTGCCTTGGCTCAAACATCTAAAGCTGCCGAATGAGTGCAGGAATACCCAAGAAGTCTGAGGTCATAAGCTTGATACAGGGAAGCTTGATACAGGGAAAAAAGTTGTGTAAAGGCAAATACGGGGAAACACTCCATGGACACTTGCATTTTCAGTTTTTTGGTCTCTCAAGACAAGTTTTCTGAATGGTTCTGTGGTCCCTTCTACGGCCAAAAATGTGGATGATAGGTGCACAGCCACCATGAAAGCCTAGCCCAACCATTCAAAGTTAATTCATATTGTAGCATCTTGTGCGTGTGTGTCACCTGTCACCATCACTGTTGCAGAAGGCCAATCATGTTACTTCATTATACATGATACAACGAGTTTCGTGTTCCCAACTCATTGACGGGTATCGTCGACAGCAAAACATCAACTTTCAGCAACCGGTGACTCGTCCACCCCACCCTCCGAATCACATCTCTCCACAAGCAAAAACATCTAAACGGTCCACAAACAGGGCAGCCCGAATTCACACAAGACCTTTAGTTTGTTGTGCAGGGGTCATGTATATGAAAAGTCCGCACTGACCCTCTCAGGGTTCCCTGACATGAGTCCTGGAGGAGTTGCGGGTCCATGAGGTTGGGCGGCCCCTGTGAATCTCACAGCAAACTCACATTAAGATTCTCAATAGAGTGGAGAATGCACAAGCACATGAGCATGCGGTCAGCTGCAGCACTCAACCAGTGTTCCTCCCTTTTCTCCTGCACCATATCTTGGATTTATGGCATGTTCTAAGCCTCATGCAGCGTGTCAAAGAGCGCCTTTGCGTGAGTTATTGTTTTGTCTTTCTCGGATTCGTCAACGAAATATAATCCATCCTCCAAAGCCAAGTTCCAAAACTAGTCGATCAGTGTCCATCTCTTCGACTTCAAATGGAGGCAACCAGCGGAGTGGATGGCATATGATGAGGAAGTCAAACCGAAAGTCTAAACATTGCTTTGCATCAACGTCCCACCAGAAGACATGTGCCCACTCGCCTCTTGCAGACCTGTGCTGCAAACAAGTTCCTTCGTGTGATGATTGTATAATGCCACACTGGTCATGTAACTATAATATAGTCAGAGTCATCCTAAGGCGGTACAATGTGTTGTTGACTGGGAGTTAGCAAGAAGTTCTTATGCGGCCAAGGGTTGTTCAATTCATTCTCTTCAGCACCGAGAAGTTCTCTTGAAGGGCTTTTAAAGGCTGCTTGCAAAGAACCTTTCGGCGTTCATGTTCAAGCTCCAAATGGCTCATGGCACCAGCCTCTGCACCAGAGCGGCCGACCCTGCAGGTGGTCAGTGCCCCTGCTTCTTGCTTTGGAGATCCCAAGACTCGACCCTCACAGAAATACCCAAACCCAGCAACACCCACCCAGCACCTCGTGGGAGGCCCACTGCCTGGGAGGCCAAGCAAGAAGAGCCCGGCAACAAATGAGGTGGGGTTCCTGGAATTCCTTCCACTGACTCCCTTTGGCTCCAGATGATGGTTTCATGGTTGAATCTTCAGCGCTGGTGTAGAGTATGGACTCTCCGGTGCCAAACGTGAGAAAAAGTCCTGAGCCCTCCCCGTGCCTGGAGAGGAAAGCAGGGTCTTCTTGGCAGGATACTAAAATGGACCAAGGGTGTTGCCTCTAGCACGCATGCGCAAACTGGCTCATACACATTATCTATATATATATATGCATTTTGTGTGTTTTGGGTTTGTTTGTTCAAAATAAGATGGCCGTGGAACAGCATGTAAAGGATTGTGGTTCGTCACGCCATGAGAAGTCCTGGCCTTGTGGAACGTCACGCACCTATCAATGCCTTGCCTGGGAGCCAATGCTCGCGCTTGCGCCCACTGCCAGTGAAGCCATGGCCAGTGCTGGCCGCATCATTGGCAGCACAGAGCTCAGGGCAAACGTTCTGGTGAAGTGGTGCCACTTTGATGCCTTGCTGTGGAGTTCTTTTCGTTGTGCAAGTCTTCAGAAATTGGCACTGTTGTTGTGGAATCACCCAAGCTGTGGAGCAAAATAGTGGTTTGGCCCAAGTCGGAGGGGCAAGCTGTGGTGCTGGTAAGTAAGGGTTGAGGAGGAGTTCCTCTGGGCAGTCTTCATTGTGTATCAACCAGGTGCAGTGTCAGAAATCAAAAACGGCAAATGTCAGACCTCAGAAAGCAACTGCATCAAGCGAGTTCAATAGTGTTAGAGGTCCGCCACAACTCCTACAATGTCCTGGGTGAAATGCTTTGAGCTGGATAGCAGCAGCCATGAGTTGCAGTCATGGGGGCATTGATTCTCTCTACGAGGTGTGTAACATGAAGATTGGTGAGAATCTGAAGGAGAGCAAGCTTTGCTCAAATCTCCTAAACTGCTCACTGATGAGCATCTCCCAGGTCGGAATGTCGACAGAATCTGACTTGCTCACCTTTCCACCACTGATGCAGCCTCAGCATCACCTTTCTCCTCCTCACACCCAGCTGCGTCCTTCGCCATTTGCCATTCCTGTTGCTGGTGAAACTGATCCGATGATGGCCTGCCACGCTGGGCCTGGGGGTCGGGCAGGGTCCACCTGGGATTGGACGTAGTTTTTCAGTAACATCCGAGCCGGAGGAGCATGACTCATACGCAGAGCATCTCGCCCACAGGCGATGAGATCGCTTCATGACGTGCAGCAGATTTAGACCATGAAGCAATGTGAGTTGAACGAGACAAAAACATCCTCACCTAGGACGCTCTGTCTTCGAGCCATTAGGAACATCATCGCACATCTCCAGGCTCCGTGTTGGGCGGCCTCTCGATTCACCTGAGAACAATGTCTGCTTTACTCACGATGTCCTTCTGCATGAGCTAGCATATTCCCGCATGCAATGAGTTTGCTTGCTTGAATGGTGGTTTTCTCTTATTTGCAGTGATTATGTAAGATGGACGCCCATCCAGAGGTGATGGTGAATTTACAAACCGCTGCAGAGTAGGGAACCCGCATCAATTCCTGTAGAGAATCCCCACCTACTCTACTCTCCCCTTCTCTTTTGTTCTTTGTTCATCTCTTCAGGACGTGCCGCCATCAACATCGCCTGCTGTACAGGGCCGCTCATGCGCCGAATTCTTCTTCCCGCACACGACCTACACAGGCAGTCGGCGAAGTAAAGTTCCCGTGGATCATAGCAATCCCTTCACTTCACATGCGAGTGTCTTAGCAATGGCGAACCCTGCAGAACTACCATTGAGGGAACTATAGACGAGAAAAGAAAGGTTGGAGAATCTGACACAAGACCGCATGGGAGCTTCATCATCATGCAAAGGGCGAAGATCTTCAAGTTGTGATGTTTGCCTGGGGGGCTGAATATATCTCTGAGAGTTTGAACGATATTGTTCCACTGGAAAAGCGGCACCAAAGAAACAACGCCTCAACTTTATGAGGGAGGTTGGAATCAACGGCCGGCGGTTCGGTGAACTGCTGTGAACAACACAGAAGTCAAGCATTTTTCCAAAATACCCCAACCACACCAAACAAAGCACCAGCTTCCTCACAAATCTGGGAGGACCAACCAACGTGTCCGGCCGGTGAACAGGGAGGCTGGAGGACCCCAACCGGAAAACCTGTGAGGAAGCAAAATCTGCGTTGTGTCACGCCCAGCATCTGCCTATTGGGCGGAAGTGATAGAGGTGGAGATGGCTTGTTCCACTCTGGGCCTCAGAAGAAAGCAGGCTGGAGAAGCGTGTACACGCAAGGTGGTCACAAAGCTTTGGAGCAGAATGAGCTCTGCGTTCTTGCAACATTGCCACAAGAAGTGTCCGGCGTATAAAACAACTCTCGAAAGGCCTTGTTCAAACTGGCGGAATTCGCATGTTCGACAACTTAAATGACATGGAATTCGTATGTCCAACCACCTTGTTTTCCTCTCGTATCTTCGACCTCCAGGGTCATATGTCCACACTCATAACCCTCCAGGCTAGGGAGCGGGCAGCGGTGCCCAAGATTCGACGAGGGTTCGGCCTCGCAGATGCTCGGCAGATTTTACAGAATGCTTGAAGGTAGAAAAGAAAATGTGAGATTTTGATTTTGGGCATGAAGAGCCGGTATGCTCTTCGATTTGTTGTAAGCAGGATCCAGAGCCGCAAACGGATGTCCAGTCCTTTCTTTCTCAACATCCCAAAGCCTGTGCAAACTTGTGACTTTGACGTGTGCCATGTCCATGTTCTGCACATCAAACAGTGCTATTCTTGCACTCTTGATAGATCAATCTCACACCTCATAGGATATGCAAACTCATTGCTATCATCCGAGTTTATGGAATAGGTGATTCTCATCATGACCAACACTGGTGAAAGAAACAGCTCGGCCGTTGCTGCAATTCTGGGGTGCCCCACGGGCGGCTGGGTGTGTGCGTGGGGTGCCGGTGCCGCATGGCCGCACCGGAGCTCTGACTGAGCGGAGCAGCTCAGTGGGGGGAAACGCGGGACACTAGTCGTTTCAGAATAAAGCAATTTGCTGATTGCTGTTCATAAAAACGAAGCGTGGCACTGCCGGTGGATACTTTCAGATCAGAATAGGGTTGGTTCAAAACTTCAACTTGAAAGTGATTGCAAAACCTCCAAAACCCTTCTGAGTCACACCGCTTTTTGCCCTGGTAAGTTGGGTATCATCCAAATATGTGAACATGCATCGCGGTCCCAACCGCGAAGGACAGCCCCAAATATACATATATATATATATGATTCTACACAAAATTCGACACATGCATTGGTTAGGGCGATTTCGCCCGAAATACTAGGACAGGATGGACATGAGTCCATGTTTCTGAAATAAATCTTGCACGTTGAGCTAAGTTGCACTGTTCCGGGTGCTTTATTGGAGGCAAGGCAATCAGGACCATATTAAAGTATTGTGATTTACATGCTACAGCCTTGGCAATTATATGCAATTATTGTGTTCAAGATATGGAAGAACTCATCATGGGTCTGTGCAAGGAAATTACTGGGGTGGGAATGAAAAAAACCTGGAGGCCCGGAGGCATACAAACCTGAGACTACTTGCAAGCTCAAACATGAGGCATGGCGCAATTGTCATGGATCTAAATGTCTGACAATCCTTGGATGTCTCGTGATGGTCCCCTCGGTTAGGTTAAGGACATTTCGGGAGTCTCAAAGTACCACGGAAATGCACTAAACGAATCTAAAACAAAAGTGATGATGAGCATTTGTCCGTACACTGGGTCCAGGTTCCTTCATAGGTGTCGATAACCTGCTGGCTTGGATAAGACAAATTGGATTCAAACAGTCCAGATTGTGGATATCTAGAATCTAAAAATTAAGTCCGACCGGCCCCCATGTGACCAATTTCGTCCCTGACAGGCCCGACAACAACAAGGCCGCCTCTCCCGACGTGTTACTGAGCGCCCTCGATAGCCAGTGTTGGTCCAGCCTGCAGGGTTTGAAAGCCTGGACCTAACATCACTTGTTCATCCCATCCCCCAAGTGAAACTGAAGCCTGGAGCCCTGCCCTCGTGAAATTCAGAGACAATGCAACTTGGAGTCGCAAAATCCAGAAAATGTTTGGCTTATAAGAAGTCTTTGTCAGTGAGGACTGAACAATCAGTCCTGATCCAACTTGGAAGGCACCATTCTCGCGAGGGACAGACAGGAGAGGTTATGCTATATAGTTTATACAAGGTGGGATGTTCAACTACAGTGATTTCAGACACCTACATTAGGCAACACATCCAAAATTACGTCCCTACCATACCCGTCGCTGCCTCGTAGGAAGGTGTGGGGGCTGCCAGCCCCGCCACGGATGCCTGGGATGAAACCTGCAGCACTGCGCACAGCAGCTATTCAATGGAGTGCGTTACGGAATAATGAGGAGGAGGAACAGAAGAAGAAGACGACGAAGAAGAAGAAGAAGAACATGTAAAGGGAATAGAATCGAATAGAACGATGTGTGTTCGGGCCTGCAGCCTGTTGCCGTGGGTTGCTGCCCGTCCTCACAGAGTGTCGAACGCTTGCTGCGTGGGTTGCCACAAAGTCCATGTGTGGTGGGGCACATGGAGGGTTGGGTCTGAAAGGGGTTACCAGTAATCGTGTGAAAGAGATCAGTGCTTCCTGTCTTTTGGGCTTGAAGCAGGTCAACTACCAAGGGCTGGAAAGGCAGCAAACGAGAATATCACTTTTGCAACCAATGTGATTCTTCATAGCCAAACTCAACCCCTCTCCGGTCGTTGAGTCTATACGGCCTTTCCATGGCTTTCCAACTTCCAGTCAATAGTTGCAAAACTTCTGCAATCCCTTCTACGTCGCACATTGGAGCTAGAAATATTCCGCTGGGGTCAGCACTACTAACACACCAAACGACCAAAATCCTGGGAGAGATAGTTGTGATTCCCAAGAAAGAAAGAAAGAAAGAAAGAAAGAATCTCAGAAAACTGAAGATATAAAGGCTTCAAAGCAAAAAGGAAACGAAAAAAAGGAGGATAAAGAATTAAAGTGATTCCAAATCGTGCCCTCTCGCTTGCTGCTTTGGCCCTGGCGTGGCGCTGGTGGAGGCTCGGGTACTTGAGACCGAGGTGTCGGCTTGGGAATCCAAAGTGTACCTCATCTCAGCACACGTGTCCTCTTGCGCACATGTTATGAGCCCACTCATGGTGCAAAGGATAGTCAAGAATCAAGAAGGCAGATGGCTGCTTGGTTTCGAGGCATAAAAGAGTCTTGAAGTAGAAAGCTTGCAAATCCCTTGTTTTGCAAGGGAAACTAAAGGACGAATGGCCCGGAAGCGTGGAAACACGAGCGCGCCAGTATTTAGGTGCACTGCATATCATACAAATGTATGTGAAGAGCCCCATTGAAGGACTTCCTATGATATACAGTGAATGGCATAGGTAAACCGGGCTTTAGCATACATAACAATGCAGCTATATTTATATACAGTATATATAAGTCCCAAATGTATTGATGCAAATGTGTTACGCAAAAGACTTCTACAGAAGAACCCTTCGCAACGCTCCCGGAAAAAGGAAAATGGTTGAGGAGTGCAACGATTGTTGACACCCACCAGGGATTCTTGTCGATTCTCCCTGAACTCCTACAGCTTTTGCCCACATGGTTTCACTGTTGCTTCATCATCTTGTGGGAGCTGGATATCTTACCTGGAATTCAGAACATGCGGGGCAAAGGCTACCTGAAGTTGGAGTCTGGAGGCCAAACTCTTTGAAAGAGCCAGTAATGGGTTGTGCAGCCATTGCCCAGAATCTGCTTAGCTGGAGTCAACACCCAGACTGCCCTCACCCTCAGCGCACTCTGTAAACTCATCCATGGACCACTCGTTGCTTCCATCCGACAAAGCCTCCCACCAGGGTGCCTCGGCCCGCAAATCTCGGCTCGCGCGAAGCACGGTGTAGCCATGAAGACAGTCTTCAATCACATCATACGATAGTTCGCTGCTCCTTTACCACACAGTTGGCCGAAAAGATTGCCCGAATTCCCATAGCCCCAGAGAAATATGCCCACTTTGAGCCAGCCCAATTATTTCGGCTCGTTACTGTAATCTTTTCCGAACATTCGGACTTCGCGCATCCAAGTGGTCGTCCAAATGCCAAACTATTCTGATTGGTAAGCAAGGGTCGTTTGGAGGCTTCAGATGGTGCAAGAACTTGTACCAATGAGACCACTCCGTCCAAGCTGCTTCGAACATACGAAGCAAGCGGACTTGGACAAAGAGTGAAAAGTATATATATATATACATATGTATAGCTGGACTGAAGCGCCAAGCACCGGGCCGAGGCAGTACGTATGCTGGAACCTACATCATCGGCTGCGTCCACCATGTTCGGACCTGCTTTCTTCTTCAGAAGCGGACTGACGAGTCTGGCCTCTGGTTCATCTCACGTGCAAACCAGCCACCGCACACACTATTTTATGGCAAAAGTCTCAAATGCAATAGGTCAAATATCTCCAGATGATACCTTGAGGTCGGGTTTATTAATCAAAACAAGGTTCATCAATGAGTTTTCTGCGTAGGTTTCAAGCATGCCTCATGGTTCCAAGCTGTTACACAATCGTCCAATGGTGGCCCTGCTACTGAAGATCTTTGTCTCCATCATAATGTTATACGTGGCTCCTCTTCCAAGAAGCCTGGCAGTATAGAAGAAGTACCTCGCGTTTTGTAGGACGGATCCTCCGGGTGCCTCGCAAGCCACTGCCCCACCTCTTTTCCGAACACTCAAATCCCATTTCACTGACGCTTGTCTTTGTGGGTCACTTTCAATCATCCTTTTGGTCCTTTTGCCCAGTGGTCCTTTGACCAGAACCCAACACCAAGCAGCGGCCTGGGAGGGGTGGGAGGAGCCTCAAAGGTGGAAAGCGTCGCCTCAGCCGGTGGGTCGCACCCCAGTCAGTACCCCCAATTCTCTACGAAGAACTTCGACCAAAGACCAACTGGGAACCTCCAAACACTCCCAACATCTTCTTCTTGGATTCAAAAGGAAAAATGTCCGGACCCCATGTTTCAGTAAAAACCTGGGGCCGCCACGAACGTGGCAGCTCTGCGACATCTTCAAGCACCTGGCTGGTTGACTCGGAAAAAGGCCTCCAGACCAGCGTGTCAAATGTGTTTTTGACCGATGTTGCAGGAACCAGGTGTGGTCAATACTTAGCACGGGGTGTTTCCTGTCTTTCTACGTCTACGCAAAGGAATACAACCCACATAGACAGCAAATTGGGTGGATCATAAACAACGGCCAATATGAAACATGGGCCTGGCATTTGGTCAAGAATGAACTAAGAAGCTTAAAACATACACAAAAGAATAGGAGCAAAATCCGTGGACCATCTTCAGGCTACGGACCGTTGTAATTATATTGTCCAATCATAGCATCTTTCAGGAAAAGAGTACAAAAGGATTGAGGACACCAACTACTTTGAAGGGTTTGCTAAGCTAGATCTCAATTAGTGCAGTGCTGTTCGACCTACACTGCTAAATAGCGCTGTGCAAGCATTCTGTACCACAATATGTATTCTATGTAGGGTCTAACCTTGATTGGAAAACATGGGAATCTCCTTTGCGGACCTCGAAAGGGGCAGAAAGCCTACCAACACTGCGCTATCCCACTTTGGATCAAAACAGAACACTCGCGCGCCTAACATGCGGAGCATGCGCAGTGGCCTGGCCTCGCTCACGGATTCCAAGACCTGGTCTTGGGCTCTTCGTGCACAAGGCGGCCCGAACTCAGGAGTGGTCATGAGTCATGGATGATGCTTGAAGTAACCCGTCTTTTTGTGACCCCCAAAAAAGAAAGAGAGCAAGACAATGCAAATGTCTAGAGTCTAGATGACCTTCAAAAGCAGCACAGTGTTGCAGGCCGTACTCCCAGTGTTGGTGGAACTGTCACTGCCCAAGAAGTGACCTAATCAACTCCGTTGAGGAACTTCATCATAAGATTTAAAAACTGCTTTCCTTCTCAGAGATTCTGCTGAGCCTGGTCTTCGGATTCTATCCCCAATGGTACAGCAGTAGATAGCAGTAGTAAGTACAGGATATTCCTCCCTAGCCTGAAAACACAAGCAGTACATCAGTGCGGTGCTGTAGGATGTACTGCATCCAAAGCCCTTGTTTGCCACTCATAAACAAGGAGAAGGGCCCGTTCTCTTTGGAAATACATTAAATGCAATGGCTCGGTTTCCTTGGAAGTGGCGGGTCATTCTGACTCAAGGGCGTTCCTGTCAGTTTGTGTCCAAGCGTTCCAGCTGGAGTTCAAGTTCCAGTCAGGTTTGACAGTTTGACCATCTTTGTTTCTCCAAAACCGCCCGGAGCGCATCGGCACCTCCGCCATGCGGGGGCAGGCGTCCCAACACCCCAGAGTGACTAGCTGGTCCCACAGGGGCCTACAGGGACTGCGAGCCTGCAGGGGACAAGGATCTGTGACAGAACTCCAGCAGGGCACACTCCAGGCCCCATGCCGCCTATACCCCAAGGTGAAGTGAACTGATCAGCTGTCTCGTCTTGACCCAAACCACTGCACCCAAAAAAAATATGGTTCCCCTCAGGATCATTTCGAGGTATATAAGCACGGGCTGCAACTGAGTGAAGCACAGGTTCGGTTGCTCCAACCATATCGACGGCTCGCAACACAGTGAGGATGTTTTCGACTCTTGGAAGGCAGGTCAAAAACCTAAAAGAAAGGAGCTGGTTTGGTGAAGTAGTCACGACGAAAGTTGCACTTATAAAATCAGTCTTGGCCACCTCTGGCAGGTTCACCCTGATGAAATACAAATTCCTCCTAGGTGTGGGACCTTACCAAGTCATTGCTACAATGAACCACAGGAGAAAATTCTTGACTCTGTAACTGGCGTCTCAAGAACCTCGTTGCCTTCTGTCTTCAGAAACTCAATTCTTTCCAACTCACTGGGCAGTTAAAGCGTTTCTGCCAAGCTTGGATCAACGTAACCACAAGGCCACGAAGCTGCTCCACTTTTTCTGAGACGAATGAAGTCTGCGGGGCCCTGCCATTGCAGGAGATCCCAGTTGCGACATTTTGTTTGCGGAGTACGTGATTCCTGGTCCCATGAGATCCTGTTCCATGTCTGGAGTTTGCTTGAGAATCACCGACTCCCTAGATTCCTTGAGTGTTCTTTCGAAATCTCCGTCTGCCATTGGGCAAAAGGCTCACATTATTAAGTGCCAGGTCTTGTCCGACCAGTCTTTGGCAGACCACTGGCGCATTCAACCCGCTCCAGTCTGACTCGGAAGCTGAGGAGGCCTGTCCAAAGAAAGAGAATGACATCTGGGAATGGCGAACCAAACTTGGGTTTGAAACGCCGCTCACTTGTTCCCTCTTTGACAAAGGTAAAATGGGCTGCAACAGAAGTGTTCATAATCTCTGGTTGGAGACTTGGCGACCTTTTTTGTCACTCACGGTCACACAATCTTGTATGGAAGCTTAAATGACAGATGGTCACTTTGGAGTTTCATCCAGTCAAAAACGGAGCCACCCCCTCTTCACCTTGCGCTCCTGCCTAAGCCTCTCGCTCCTCTTCCGCCAAGTGGGCATGCTGGCAGCCAACCCGCCCACAAAAGCCCGCAGTGTAGATCAGGAGTACGACGCCAGCTAGCGATCCGCTGACGATGTAGGACGTAGTGGGGTGAACTTGCTCCTGGCTCAAAAGCTGTTGGAGATTTCACTGGGAGTGGGCTTGAGTCCATCATGATCATCTGCTACTTTGGGAGCAACCAAACACCAAGAAAAGAACATTTGACTTGATGTCCATTTCGTCAGGAACTTGCTAGTGTCTTGCAGCTTGGAAACCAGCCTCTTGGCACATCTTGCAAAGATGCAACCTCTTCTAACTCTTCCCCATAGTGCTCGGGAGAAGATAGCCAAAAACAAGCCATCGGAAATCTGACTATCCAATGCCTACGCACCAGAATACACTTTGAAGAATTAAACAATTCCTGGCCGCCTAACTCCCACAAATCCTCCACCCTGGCCCAAATCTTGACTGCCAAGCATCAAAAAGCAAAGTAGCTAAGAAGCTGGATAATGCCGCTGCCAAGGATTGAGCTTGGCCAATGCGGATCTGCATGTTCCTGTGCTGCTGTTGAAACAACACACAAGCTGCTTGGCTGTTTGATTGTCAATGTAATGGTTCCCCGTAAAATCTTGACAACAGAGTCTCTGAAGGGGTGAGGAAAATCCATGTGTATTGAAACCTCCACCTTCATTAACACTTTGGCTGCGGTATGGAAATTGGAAGTTGTGGTAGAAGTACACCGAGAGTAGAGGGATCTCTTCAGGAGTTGCTAGGTGCAACACAGATCTCTGTGTTGAACAAACGATAATTAGGCCTAAAGATTTTAAAGGGAAGCCGGGAAGCCTTTGAAAACAACCTGGAGTTCTTCCAGCGACGGGTTCCTAGCATGGTCATCAGTTCTCAGCATGGGGTCATCGATTTGTGTGGGGAGCACCCTATGAATGATCAAAGCTTTTGCCAATGAGGCTTTACAAGGCTCATAAACAGGAGATCGTCGTCCATGGAGTAAAAATGACAGAGCTCAGCAGCCCATTTAGAGGCTAAGCAATAAGAGCTGCTCATCATCACTTGCCCACAGATCGCCAAGGGTAGCATCGAGCTAATCATCATCATGTTGAGGCCGATCCATATAAGAAGGACCCAACAAAGGTTGTAGGGAGGGAATGCGATCCTGCGGCAAACGGGACGCTTATTGGACGGTTCTTACGGTTTGAAAAGACTTGGATAATGCGCTTCCATCAGCAATGCTATCTAACTGCCAGCTATGTATGTCACTTCTAGAGTGAAAATCTAGTTTGGGAGGTCTTTTGTGAATTGGACCAAGACGATGCCAGCTGGAGCATCAAGTCATGTTCTGTTGCAGCTGCAAATGAGAACCTGAATCGCGATCCAGCTAAAAATAGATCGCCAGCATGGACCCCTAAATATAGCATTTGGGATAAGAAAAGTCTCAACTTGTAGTATGCTGTCGCTCGGTCTCTTGCACAAGTGCAAACCCGATCTCAGATGTAAAACAAGTAGGGCTAGACATGCAACGTGATGAGTGCAAACAGGGTTGCCATCAGGGCCTGGCTCCAGGGTTCCAACTTGTTACTAGTAGCGAACATTGCTCCTAGTAGTAAGGCCAGGAGCTTCTAGTAGCGTCCTAGTAGCGATGCCAGGAGCCCCTAGTAGCTTCTTGGCTCAAATCAGAGTCTGAGTTCAGAGTTTGAGGGTTCCCAGAGTTCCAGGTGAAAAGTTGCAGTCTGGATCTGCAGGAAGCAAGACTCTGCTCTCTGCGGAATAGTTTTTATTTCCCAAACAGCCGAATGGATATATTTTCCAAAGAAGCAGTTTGGTTGCATTCCAGGTAGAGCATAATAACCTGCTGGTGGTAGTTATTCTTCGAAGTTGCTCTGCTTCTTGCTGGAAGCTGGACTGTGAAAGGAGAAACTTCAAAGCACTCGAAGCAGACAAAATCCCCAAAGGACCCTCTCATTTAGACTGAACCTATAGCTTTCTACTCTAACCTTGGGTTGTGGCTGCAGAGCCTAAACATCATCCGTTCCACTTCTTTGGACAACGTGAAAGATATTTCTTTGTTCCAACCTCGCTTGGTGAGTGATTAAGTCTTTCCTACAGAAGACCCATCAACAGCACAGCCCGGTTTCAAACCCCTGCCAACACCACCCCAGATTGACATCTCCTGGCCCAACATCTGGCTACCGCATCCAAGCATGGGACCTCTGAACCTTGCAAAATATCCGAGCAGGTGCTGTCTTGGAAGCCAAGGTGGGTTGGCAGGCCCTCAAAAGTGGTCGTTAAAGTTCGGGATTGGATGTTTTGAGGCTTGATGGAAGGGATCCAAATAGTGCGACCCACCGTTGCTTTTCTCATGCGATACAGAGTCCAAAACCATGTTTGGACCCGCCCATAAGGGGTCATGACAGGTTGTCTAGGCCTTTCCCTTTGAGGAAGTCCACAGATTGGTCACTTTCGGTGACCCTAGGGTCTTTGGAAGTGATCAATGGCCACGCACATGTTCTGGAGATGGACTCATAGATAAAATCTCAAGGGTTGCCATGAGGTGTCTGTAACTTCTGTCAAAAGACTTTCATTATATGTGAACTCTGATGATGTTCCATTATTGTGGCCACTGATCAAGGGCTCACTCTGTCTGTCTGAAAGCACGGGTCAGCCCAACAAACCCCCCCCTCTAGAACTACAAATATACTAAAGACATCTGAAGACTATGTAGTGTTGGTCAGGTCGCCGACCTGAGTCCCCAGGTCGAGAGTGAGGGTCTTCGGCAAAGGCACTTAAAGCCGCCACTTGCATCACAATTGCCTGAGCCGATCGTCTGAATCGATGTGTGGGTCGGGCGGTCGGAGTGGATGTTTTCTTGAGAGCCGCAAGAAAAGGTTCAAACAAGGCCAAGCCCCAAAGCTTCCAGGAATTGAAGTCGATACGGGACCATGTTCTTGTCCCCTCAATCACCATTTCTTTTCAAGTGCACATCAAACAATAGCAAACAGGCACCTTTCTCGCGTGAAGTGGCCCCCCGCATGTGTGGCTACCAAGTTACTGCCAAGAAATCGCCACCTGTTTGCCCCAAAGCGCACATAGTGGCCGAGCTCACGCCATAGTACCTCAGGTTGGGTGATAGATCTGAAGCTAGATGATAAACCGTGGTACCCACTTCATTGGCTGGATGCATTCTGGGTCTGAATCATGCTGGGCTGGGTGGGGAATCTCGCTCTGACCGTGAACGGCCCATGAACCCTTTAAATTGCTGAGCCTGGGCGCCTGGGCGCCTGGAAAACAGAGACTGAGACGACAGAGACTCCGAAAATATCCAAACCATGTGTACGCAGGTTAGGCCTTACTACCCAGCAAGGCCAAGCTGGGAGAGACACAACCAGACCCCAAAAAGAAACCAACGGCTTGTGAATCATGACACTGCGGAAACCCTGCAAAAGCAAAGGTAAAGCACATATGTTGAACCCAAACAAAGGCCTGATTCTGCAATTTTCACGGATATGATGTGTCATGCAAAAGCCTTGTGGCTTCTACATGTGTAGCAAGAGATCTCTTGACAGCTTGAGGCTTGAAAGGTTTGACATTAAAGGGATCGAGAGCACATGTGGAGCACGGTAGAGGACCACATCTGAAGTGCACTTGGAGACCATACAGAACGGATTGGATGCCCCATGGTTGAAAGGAATCATACGACATCTACTGGAGACAACTACTGGCCCATACCGGCCCTATGTCTTGGATGTGAGATGTCAAAACCGCCTGGGAGTTCACATGGAACCTAACCTGCATGCACCTTAGTTGCTACTGCTCGTTAGTCCTAGAATATGTGGGTGCACATTTTCCATGTTATTATTT